AACAAGAGTGCATTATGCAGATGACACAATCTTGCCTTCTGAACGTGAGAAGGACTTCATGTGTTTGCTGTAGAAGATCAAGATCTGCAACTTTCAATATGGATTACATCTCAACATCAAGAAACAAAAATGTTCACAACTGGACCAATCAGCAAAACCATGATAGATGGAAAAAGATTGAAATTGTCAACAATTTCATCTTGCTTAGATTCACAGTTAACATTGGTATCAATAGTCAAGAGATTAGGAGACCTATAGCCTTGGGAAAAATCTGTTGTCAAGGATCTCTCCAAGGTCCTGAAAAACAATGTGTCACTTTAAAGGCCAAAGTATGTACCACATTTAAGACACTGTCTTTCAAGTCACTTGTTGTGCATCTGAGAGCTGGACAATGAATAAGGATGACAGAAGATATGATAGCATTTGAGTTGTGGTATTTGGGAAGAGTACTCAATATCCCATGGACCAAGAACAAACAGATATGTCTTGGAGAAAATGAAACCAAAGTGCTTCTTGGAGGCAAAGATAGCAAAGTTTCCTCTTACTTTGGACATGTTGTTAGGAGAGGCTAATACTTAAAAAATGGACATCATGTTTGGAAAGGTGGAGGGTCAGAAAATGAGAGGAAGACCTTCAACAAGATTGACTGACACAGTGACTGCAGCAATGGGCTCAAGTGTGTCAGAGATGTTTTTCCATGACTCACTGTTCATTGACAGACAGGCCCTCCCTAGGAAACAGTCACTAACTCTATCATTTCTCTTTTCCACTATCCCCTAGCTCTTCTTTAAGTTAGATGGAGTATCAAACAAATGCCTTATTTTTCTATTCTATGTATATATTCCATGTGGTGTGCATAAAGTCCTTAAGGCCCTATACATTGATCTTAAAGTGAAAGAGAAACTATGAGGAGCTCTAGAGGTAGAAAAGAAATAAAGTCCTGTTAGCCTATTTTGAAACTCTGCTTCACTTACTTTAGGCATATTTTCAGGAAGAACCAGTCTTTGCAGACAGAAAACATGCTGGGAAAGGGAAAAGGTCAACGAAGCCAGATTGACTGACATAGTGACCACCTTGGTGGGCTTAAGCAGGACAGAGATGATGAGGATGGCATAGGACAGGGCAAGGTTCAGAACTGTTGTTCATAGGGTTGTTATAAGTCACAGTCCTCAAATCCCTATGCACATCCAAAAACTTCTCCAGTAGGGTAAAAAGGGAAGCCACTGACTGGGAAAATGTATTCGGTAATAACATATCAGATAAGGGACTTATATCCAGAATTTATGAAATACTTGAGCACCACAACAAGATAAAGGTAAATAATCCAATAGAAAAATGGGCACAGGATATGAACAGGCACTTCACCGAAGACGACATTCAGATGGCTAACAAACACATGAAGAAATGCTCAAAATCCCTAGCCCTAAGAGAGATGCAAATTAAAACAACTATGAGATATCATTTCACCCCAGTCAAAATAGCAAAATTTAACAGAACAGCAAGCAACAAATGCTGGCGAGGTTGTGGAGAAACTGGAACCCTGATTCACTGTTGGTGGGAGTGTAAAATGGTGCAATCCCTGTGGAAAGCAGTATGGCGCTTTCTCAAAAAGTTGCAAATAGAGATACCATTTGACCCAGCAATTCCACTACTGGGAATATACCCTGAAGAGACCATAGCTGACATCCAAGCAGATATATGCACACCCATGTTTATTGCAGCTTTGTTCACAATAGCAAGGAGTTGGAAACAACCCAAGTGCCCATCAACAAACGAATGGCTAGAGAAGGCTGTGGTATATTCACACAATGGAATACTATGCTGCATTAAAAAACAAGGAACTCATGCAATATTATTCAAAATGGTTGACTCTGGAGAACATTATGCTGAGCGAAATATCCCAGTCACAAAAGGACAAATATTACATGATGCCACTGTTGTAGAATGGGACTGTCCTTGGGGTTGGGGAGAGACTGAGTAAGATGGGTTCAATAATGTATACTGCACTGAAACAGAGGAGGGAGAAAACTGTTTAAAAGAGATATATAACTAGGTATTTCTGTCATCACAGGAGACTAGAGCGAGGGCTGCATGGTGGAGGGGACCTGGGGGAGGGTTTGTAAAACAATGAAAGAATCTTTTCTTTTACTTTTCCATAATTTTTGGACTCATGTACTTATAACTTGTTAGTCAAATTTGTGTCTTCTAGGTTGCAACACCCCCATGATACATCTTCAAGGATATGAACATGTACGGCCAAGCACAATCAATAAGAGTGCATCTGAATTCCAAAATCAATCTCCATAATAGTCTATGTGTTTCCTACTGCCAAAGGAGCCCTTTAGAGTAGTGAGAGAAGATCTTCACCCTGAAACCCACAGCGTCCCTTTTCAGCAGGAAGTAGCTAAGAGAATACGCTGTCCCCTTTTCCTTATGACTCAGGTGAAGTCTCTCTCAGGGAGGAGTGATAGGGAATGGCAAAGGATACACTGACAAAGAAGATTAATCAGAACTGGCTTTGACAAGCACTGTGGCATTTGGACAAGAACAAACTGGGAGGAGGGTAGAGAGAATAGTGCAACAATGAATGAGTGGAAGCCCAAAATCTCTGTAAATGTTTATGAAAATTAATAAAATATAATTATAGAAAAAAAAATAAGTCACAGTCATCTTAACGGAACCTAACAATAAAAACCCCACCTGAGGAGCTTATGATGTCAAACAGAAATAATAACATAAACATGAAAAATATGGCAAATTTGTACTAAACATGAAAATCTTATAATAAAAAATATTTTATGCGTACTTCCAATCAAGTCTAATGGCTACATAAGAATAATCAAGAACAGTCACAGGAAAACATATATTGAATAACTGTTTAATAATACTCCATGTCATCTTCTGGCTTTTGAGGCATCTATCTAATCTGAAATTGTAAACTACAAAGGAAGTGATTGATTCAGTTGCCTTTTTTGCAGTCCATAGTAAAAGGATATTAATACCTCTTCTGGCCTTCCCAAAGCTGGAGTTCCTGTTAGAAGAATGGCTCGTCTGGCTTTCTGTACCAAAGGTAATAAAATCTTGCTGCGGGATGCATTTCTGGACTTCATGTAGTGAGCTTCATCCACTATGACCACTTTGAAGTGCTGATTATTTAGTGCATCTATCAAAGTCTCTGCATCTGTAGTTAAAAGACCGTAACCCAGAATTGCCACTTTGCTGGTCGATATTCTCCTAGAAGAGAAAATCCATATACTCTCAAAATATTTCAGTAACCAATTTATCATAAAAAGTATAATTATGTTGAGAAGAAACAAAAAGGAAGAGGAATAAGAAAAGGGGTAAAATAAGAGAAGATAGTACACTTAAACCCAAACAGAATCACTGGTGTTGAGAAGATTCCAGCTCCACAACCCTGCAGGGCCGAGCATAACTGCCGTAGGACCCCAAGCCTGTAAACCTTTATGTAAGCAAACTGCCCCTTCTTTCTAGGATTGGCTGGTGGGTCTAAACTTCCAACCTTTAGGTTAGCATTGACTGCTTTAACCATTGCAACACTAGGGCCCACTGATGACACTGTGGTTGTTGTATAGCTAACCTCCCTACCTATCCTCAGCAAATTTTCAGAAGGATTTAAGCACAAGGGAGGAGACTGCCTTTCTCCCACAGAGCAGCTGGAGGACTAAAACCATGTTCCTTCGGGTTGGCAGCACAGCTTCTTAACCAGTCAGCCACCAGAGACCCCTACTGATGACACTAGTATTAAAATGAAATTTCTCTCAAAATTTTATAGTCTTCAAATATGATAAATCACAATCCAAAATTCAACATTTTGGTTAACCAAAACAGACATTTTTGTTAAATGATCTGTTAGATTTTACTACAAGTCATACTTTATTAGGATAAGAATGTGATTTCCAAGAATAATTGCTTCCATGCAACTAGGATCATGCATAAAGAGAAGACTGTAGCATTAGCGAACACTTCCATCAAGTTTCCCCATAATCTCAGACTGAAGAGTGTTTCTCAACCATGGTACTGCTAGTACATGGAGCATGACAGTACTTCGCAGTGCATGGCTGCTCAGTACCTTGTATGGTTTTGTGCAGTTGCTGGTTCCTCCCCCGCCACCCACGCTAAGCTAGTAGGGTTCTTTAGTCATTATGACAAGAAATAGGCCCCTGAGGCTGAGGTAAGAACCACTGTGTTAATGCAATTCCTGGTGCTTGGAACTATTAATTCATGCACCAAATTATTTATTCTTCTACATAGTAATCTCCCTTATTACATCATGAAATTGGTAAGTGCAAGCAATGCTTCTTATTCCTCTGTAATATGCAGTGCCTTGCTCCCAATGAGTTTACAGAATCAAAAAATTTTTTTTAAATGCATTAATATTAAAACAATGTCATTCTTGCATTTTCTATGACTTAAGTTCTGTGGACTAGCGGTGAGGAGTTGCACTACCAACCCAAAAGTACATGGTTCAAATCTGCCAAGAGCTCCTCAGGAGAAAAATGGGCACTCTCTTGCCATGAAATTTATAACCTCTGGATACCTGCTGGAGGTTCAGCTATGAGTTCATTCTCACTCAGTAGCACATAAAAACATTAAATGCTATAATATATTTAAGAGAAATATTCTTTAAAAAAGTAAATACAAGAATTTAAATAAGATATGTTATTGTTGTCAGGTGCCAATGAGTCAAGTTTGACTCATAGCAAACAACAGATCTGCACTCTGTCCTATCCCGTGCCATCTTTGTCATCTCTGATATGCTTGAGCTCATTGCTGCTATATCAATCTATTCTGTTGAGGGCCTTCCTCTCTTTTGCTGACACTCCACCTTTCCAAGCATGATGCTGTTGGTATATGCTGTCCAGTCGGAACTGACCCATAGCTGACCCTCCAGTGAGTTTTCAGAGACAACATAGCTAAGTTAAAATGGTTTCTGTTATGTGATTGATAGCGACCCTATGCACAATAGCTCTGAATCCTGTCCTAAGCCAATCTCACTGTCTAACACACCTGCCTCTATTACCCAAATCACTGTATCAATCCATCTCATCCACAGTCTTCCTCTCCTATGTTGTCGCTCCACCCTTCCAAGCATGACATCCTTCTCTAAGGACTGGTCCTTCCTGGCAACATGCCAAAAGTATGGGAGACAGAGCTCTGACAATTTGTTGTGATTCATACAGTGAAATGCCTTTGCATAGTCAATGAAAGACTTTTTTTTCTGGTTCTCCCTGCTTTCAGCCAAGATCCATCTAGCATTGGCAATGATGCTACTAGTGCTTCTCCCTGCTTATACTTCTGGTGGTTCTCTGTTGATATATTATTCCAGTTTTTTGTTTGTTTTGTTTTTTTTTAAAATAATCTTCATCAAGATTTTGCTTGTGTGTAATATCAGTGATATTATTTGATAATTTCCACTCTTTGTCAGATCACTCTTTTTCAGAATAGGAAAAGAGTCAGCTGGCTAGGTAGCTGTCCTCTAGATTTCTTGGCACATGTTGGAGAGCACATTCAGGGCTGCATCTGTGTGCTGAAATACATTAACTGGTATTCCATAAATCCTGGGGCCTTGTGGGGATTTTTTTTTCCAATTCGTTCAGAGCAGCTTGAACTTCCTCCTTCATCACCATTCCCTCTTGGTCAGACACTGTTTTACAGGGTCTTAATAAATTTTGCATTCTTTAACTAGTGAAGTCCTTTAAATTATATAATAGTTTATTAGCAGGAACAAGTTTTATTTAAAATTAACATCCCATTTTAACTATGAATGTTGTTGTTGGAACAAGACCCACTAGAGCTGACTTTCCTGAGGGTTTTAACTTCAATAGGAGACTGGCCATCTTTGTACAATGGAGCAGTTGGTGGATTCCAGCCACATGCCTTTGAAATTGTAGCGAAGCTTCTTACTAATAGGTTACCAGAGACCCCTTTTTTCTTTTTAATTTTGATTTTATATTGGTTTGCATACAAAATTTGTATACAGTGTTTTCCACACTATCCTTCATTCACATTATTTCATAAAATCATTCACATACATTGTGTTTTATAAAATAAATCACCATTGAACTATGTCTACTATTACCCTTTCTTGCCGGATCGCCGACAGATCTTTCCCATTTCCTTTATCCCCTCCCTGCACCTACCAAATTGTGCAAACCTATGATTTCCCCAATGCCAATTATCAGCCCTCTGACTCCCATCAATTCCCTTTTAACTACGCAGGGTCTAAATTTCTTTAGACGAGTAAAGAGGAATTTCTTTTAATTAGAGTTTCAGGGTTGAAAGAGAAAAGGCTGTCTGTCTACTTTGTATGATTTTTTTCTAACACATTCATACTCACTCACTCATTGCCATTGAGGAAGAATATACTGACTCTAAATATCCTTTATGTTAACCAATCTTAGAGAATATTGCCCAATATAGTAAAATCATTACTAAAAAACCTAAATTAAACCATAGGACAAACATTTATTTCAGGGTGATATATTGCTTTTTATCTACAGCTCAGATCATACACTTAGATTCTCTTATGCAATATAAGAACTTTTCAAAATTAAAATTGATTGACTCAACCCGGTGGCTAGAATATAAAATGAAGGCAAATATTTGCTATGATTGATTTTTAGAGAAAAGACTACAAATAATAAGAAGAATTTTTAAGATAAACAATCTTTTATTAAAAATAATGAAGAAAAACTTTGTTAATGTTATTTTTGTCATAATAAAATGTCTATATTTATAAAACTTAGAAAGTGAAATATACCATGGTTATATTCACAAATCTTCAAGTTAATCTATTTACTAAGAGTAGTAAGAATTATTCTTTTTTCTTGTTAATTAATTTCTTTTTCATTTCAATGAACATCTACAAAGAATTATTCTTAAATCATAAAATAGCAAGTTTCTACGTATACTTAAGGTACATATAAACAAACTGATCTTAAATCTTGAAAGTATAATGTTTTCCTTTAAAAATCTACTAAGAGAAAATGAATGAAATTGAATAATTTGAGCTTTAACAAAACTTTCTTGAAAAATAACTCATTAAAAATTGAAAATTATCTTCTCTTTTAAATTTAAAATTTGTTGACATTTAAATATGGGTATATACATATTTAAATATAACATACAAAAAATGAGCTCTGGTTCCCAAGGGGTAAGGAGTTGCAAGACTAACCCAGTCACATGTGCTATGAATCCATCAGCTGCTCCACAGGATGAGCAATCTCCTCCCATATGATTTAAATCTCTGAAAACCTGCCGGAGGGTCAGTTATGGGTTGGTTCATACTTGACGGAAAACAACATATAATACATACAAGCATACAAAAAAGATTTTTAAAATTTATTCTGAAAAGAACTGTCCTTACCCAACATCAGTTTTATTCTGAATCACATTGATTTCTTCTGGACCTAGCTCTGGAATCCATTTTTCTATTTCTTCTGTCCAAGGATATCTCAGAGATGAAGGCACCACTATTAAAAGAGGCCATTCTTCTTTATAAAAGTAAGCAATTGCAATTGCTTGGATTGTCTTTCCTAATCCCATCTAAACAAACAAACAAAAAATAAATAAATTAAGAGTTTAAATTTTTTTGTGTGTGTCTGTCTTCCAAATTTCTAGAGCAGTTTATGGTGCTTAATTAGAATGGCTCTGAATTTGTCCAGTTTATTTATCTGTGTTATACTAATCTGGTACTCCAAAGGAAAGCAGGAATTTTGGGGTTATTTTAGTAATGCTGGAATTACTACAGTAACTTTTATTGTTAAGCGAGAGAATGGATAGCTGGTCACTCCCTCTTTCTCTCTCTCCCATTCCCATAGGACAGGACTAAATCAAGGTTTCCCAGAAGAAACAGAAGTCAAGGACAGATGGATAACAGTGAAGAAGCCTCCTGTTTAGGAATGCAGGGGATCCTTTCCTTTCAAAACCCAATCAATTCCTCAGGTCTCTAGGCGGGTCTGGCTATGACCAGACTCAGGGGTGAGACTGGCAGTGCTCA